CCGGCCGGCCCCGCCCCGCGGCACCGCCCCGAAGGCTCCGTCGGGAACTCGAGCCCCCAGCCCCGGTTCGGACCCCCAGCCCCGGTTCGGACCCGCCAAGTCCCGGTTCGCTCCCCCGCGATACGAGGCTCAGTCCCGGTCTGATCGCCCCTCAAGCCTGGTTTGCCTCTCAGCCCGGTTCACAAACCCCAGCCCCGGTTCGCTCCCCCCAACACCAGACCCAGCTCCCCCAGCCTGGTTTGCCCCCTCCCAAGCCCCCCACTTTGGTTCTCCAAGCCTCACCTCAGCCCCAGCTTGCTCTCCCCCAGCCCTGCTCGTCCCCCAGCCCCGATTCACCGCCCCCACCCCAGTTCCCCCCACGCAGGGTGCTCCAGACCCCTCTCAGACCCCTCTCGGACTGGGGGACCCCCCGGCCCAGCTGCTGTCGGGGGTCCAGGGGTGCAGCCAGGGGTTCCAGGACCCATCTGTGAACACCCACAAATGCACCCAGGTCCCCCCAAACCTCAGAGGGGCCAGTGGGAACTGTGACACCCCCTCGGGAAGGGAACGTGTTGGCACCACGTGAGCCTGTGGGAAGAGCCAGCAGAGCAGCCAAACTGCAAACAGCCTTTATTTCCCTCTTCCTTTTAAAATCTACTCACAAACGTGATTTCTGGGGGCAGCAGCATCACTCGGGTGCTCAGCTGCAGACCTGTAATGGTGGAAAAACTCCATCTACAAAATCACGTTGAAAATCACACTAAAAAAAAAAATCCCATCTGCATTTTTTTTCTCCCATCTGAGGGATCCACACCCCCGCACAGGTCTGGGAGTTACAGCACCAGGAGGAAAACTGACCCTGGGGACTCCCAAGGTCACCAGCACCGCGGGCAGATGAACCTATGGGACTTTCCAGTTTTAGACACTCATAAAAGGCCTCTCTGTGACTACAGAGACAAATTTATGGCTGTTTAACAAAATAAAGACCAAGGATGGAAATTAATCAAAGAACAAGTGTTACCTGTGGCTGCTTTTTTGAGGCTTCTAACACAGGAGCAGCTCCCGGTCCCAGCATTTGCTCCAGTGCCCCACCACACCCATCCCACAGCCCAGGACAAGGATGGGAGGAAAATCCCTCTGGCTGCAGCTGGGACATGGCACTGCCCGTCCTGCTGTGGCTGTGTGAGCCCCAGTCCCGGTGCCAAGGCAGGGGCTGAGGGCTGGCCAGGGAACAGTGGGACCCCCCTGGTTCTCCAAAGCTGTTGTGATGTGCTGGAGTGAAAACCTCCAGCATTCCCCTGCCCCAACCGTGGAAAATTCAAGTGGCTGCAAAGCTGGAGGCAGCGAGGGGGAGCTGGGGGCTGAATCCAGGGGTCCCCTCTGGTCCCCCCAGCCAGGAGATGCCAGCAGAGGAACAAGTGGCATTTGGAACACCTTTGCTTTCCAAAGTGGCTGAGACACTTGGCCAGCAGGAGCACCTGGAAAACCCAACTGAGGAAGTTTGACATCCCAGAGATGGCAGTGGGGGCCACCTCTCACTCCTGCCTGGGGCTGGCAGCTGCAGCCGTCAGGAGAGGCTGGGCAGGAGGAGGAAGGAAGGCACGGAGGTCTTGGAAAGGCACTGGGATCTGCCTCCAGCTGCATCCCTGAGCTGCTGAGTGAGGACCGAGCTCGCCCAGATCCACCCATCCCTGTCCAGACTCTGCAACCCCAAAACAGCTTCTCCTGCTCAGTCACCCTGGGGGCAGTGAAGTCACCAGCACAGGAGGGTCCCCTCTCCTCATGACCCACCCCTGGAGGGTTCCAACCCCACTGCACACAAAGGAATGGAAAAGAGACAGTGATGTTCAAAATCACAGAACAGCTTGGGTTGGAAGGGACCTTAAAGCTCATCTTGCTCCGTCCCCTGCCAGGGGCAGCTGATCTGGGACATTTTTTCCTTTGACAGGGAAACTGCTGCCCAGGGTGAACTATAAATACAAAGATAATTTTAATTAATTTATTTATTTCTTTACACATAACTGAAAGTGATGTTACAGTACATAAGTTATTTACAACTGTGCAGTAATGTGTTGCAAAATAAATTATCTAGAAGGCAGCAAAAGTACATTGTTAATGTATATAAAAACTGTACAGCATTTATGGGATACAATTTTTCTTTATATGAGTATTGGCTCTGTAGTGTTTTCAAGTTATGTTCTCAGAAAGAGAAACGAAATGCCCAAGATTAAAGGAAAAAATATATAAACCACGTGGATTTTACTCCATTAAAAACACAGTTGGCAAAGTCCTTTCTCTGCGTCGCCGTCTCCCCGGCCGTGCCGCTCCGGCGTCTCCTCTGCCCGTCCCCAGCGGTGGCAGCGGCTGCTGTGGGGCCACCGGCACATCCCGGAGCTGTCCCCGCTCCGGAGCCGCCGCTGCCCAACGTGGACACACTGTCCTTTTGTTTCTAATTGTTGTTTGTTTTTTTTTGTGATTTTTTTTTTTTTGTAGTATTTTTTTTGTTTTGTTTTTTTTTAGACATACCCATGATGGAACGAGAAACTCAAACACCCCCCCCCTCCCTCCCCCCATGGTTTCCTACTGCAGCTTCTCCGAGAGGAGATCCGGTGGAAAACAGAGAGCTGGAAATCACGGTGTTCACAAGTACATGGTTCACGTGGTTGCTGGCCCCGCTCAGCAGCTTCTGCAACACACACACGGTGTCCTTGGCCTCCTCCCTCCGCGCCTCGGCCAGTCCCGGGGCCGCTGAGCGCCCGCTGCCCGCGCTGCCCGGAGCCTCCCCGCCCGGCCCGCTGCCCCGCGGAGCCGCGCCAGTCCGGAAGCGAGGGACACGTCGTGAAGAAAGTGCAATTATTTTTTCTTATTGTTTTGTTTTCTGCCGATAGCTGCTTCCTCCTCCTCTGACCAGGGATTCATCAGCAAGCGGTTAAGGGTGAATGTGAGCTCGACCGCCCGACCTCGGAGCGCTCCCGTCCTTGCCAGTGTTCAGTGATGTCTCCTGGGGTGGAACTGTCATGCCGGCAAGAGCACAAAGTCATCGTTCACGTCGACCATTGGCACATAGAACGAGGGCACCTCGTTCACGCAGAGGGATTTGTGCCCCGCGGGGTCCAGCTCCTGCACCTTCAGCTGCCACTCCATCCTCTGCACCGCGTTCAGGGCAGCTGCTTCGTGTTGCTGTCGCATGAGCAGGCACGTCTGGATTGGGAAACAACAGCGGGATGTGAGGGCTGAGCGGCAGGCCCAGGCAGGGGACAGACACACAGTGGGCACAGTGTTAAATGCAGCAAGGGATGCCACACACAGGACACCTGGGTTTGGAACGTCTGCCGAGCCCAGCTCCGGCAGGAGCCCAGACAAAGTTTGGGTCTGAAAGGCCTCGTTATCCACTCCCACGCGACACTGCCCTGGCAATCTCCGGCCACCCACTCTGTGCTGGAAACCACTAAGGCAGCTGCCTCAACCCTCCTGGAATGCCCCTGCCTGGAGCACGGGGCTCCCACAGCTCTCACCTTCATCCGGTCGTACTTGTCATCCACGTCCTGCAGCCAGGAAATGAACTGTCGCGCGTTGAAACGGTCTCTGACCGATTTGTTTTCATCTCCCTAAGGACAGGACAGCCAAGGGAGGGGCACGGGATTAGTTTTGTACTTTAGGCAGTTACAGGTCTCACAGGCCATATTCAGGCCCCTCACACTCCTCAGAACTGCGGTGCCTGCAGGGACGGAGGACGCACATCACTGCTGCCAGCTGCTCCTGCAGCCCCCTCCAGGGATTCAGCCTCAGACGGGGATGCTCCCATGTGCACACACTCCCTGCTTCTCCTTGTTTTGCAGGGGATCTGTCCATGTCAGCCCATCACAGCACCTGCAGCTCTCTGCCTCCTCCAGCTCACGCCAGGAGAGCAGCAGCACAGACACTCGGCTGGGAAATGCCGACGGGTAAATCAGAGCTCCTGGATCAATACGGAGCTCGCTAATAAATCCCAGGATCCTGTCCCTGCCCAGGATCTCTCCTGCAATGCAGCAGTGTAAGGTTTCTCTTCCCTTCCTTCCACAGCAAGAGACACCCCAGAGTGCAGCAAAGGAAACCTTTCCAGTGTGCAGATGATCCTGCCCAAGAAGGATGGAGGTCCCAAGAGTCACTGATACAGCTGAGCCATCTCTGCCTCTAACAGACGTGAACTCCCTGTTTTCCACATTCCTGGATCTATTTCCTCCTCTGGCACACGTGTGGGAACTGAGGCAGATTAGGCAAGTGATGTTCCAAGCCATGGAATAGTTTGGATTGGAAGGGATCTTAAAG